GTAAATGACATTTTTACAGTTACCATGGTTATGTGATTTGTTTTTCTCGATGAGGTAACTGGATCCGATTGATGGCACTCGAGTTTTTAACATTTTCTTCTATAATTCGAGAACGGGTGGCGATATCGAGATGCGGTTTTCACTAAAATTTAGCAAATTTTAAGGTGACTAAGAATCTGTGAAGTAAATAGTATCGTTCCATTTAACTTTTCTTCAAAAATCACAAAAATATGTAATCGCAGCAGATAACGCCCTCTAGCTTATTTGTTTTAAAGCGAACGGTCTTATTGAAAATATCTTTACAAAGAGCATAAAATGCTCTTTCAAATAACACCAAAAATATTCAAATCGGTTGAATGGTCCAGGAGATATTAAAATGTAAACATATGAAAACGCATTGGCCTCCCCCTCCCTTATTATGACAGATATGAGAAATATCGCAAAACAAAAGCGATGCGGTATTATCAAAGCTATTAAATGATGTTGTCAAAATTATAGCTCATCGTTATAGCGGCAATTTTATGTTTCTCAATGGCAATTACGCCCCCAGCTATTTCTCTTGGTCAGTTTGCTCATAAAGATTTTTTTCCCAAACCTCTAGGCCTTACCGTTCTAGAGATACAGCCGCTCCGTACGCTTAACGGGACACCTGTATATGTTAAATTGAACCTTAACGTTTCTAGTTTATGATATAAAAACTATAAGATATTGAAAGTACCAGAAAAAAATAATTATTCCTAATCTTCCTAAGATTATACATTGGTCATTTCGTTCTATATTCTTCCAAAAATGGTCCGACTATATACCGGGAATTTCATATAACTCGCAATAGATATACAGGGTGCCCATTATGTATGGAATATAGTATATATCTTGGTAGGTATCAACTTTATAAAAAAACATTTTATACAAAAGTTGTTTAATATTTTATTTGCCATAATAAGACAGCATTCAATTGTTTTTATTTCAGAAAACAAATGAGCAACGAATAACACTTGAAGTTTTTTAAATGGCAATGTACCCTTTCGTTAGGTTCATTTGATAGAGATTTTTTTTCTCTTTACGATAACGTAAAATTTTAGCACCCTCATATCAGAAAATTTTTGAAAAAATGTAAAAATTGTTTATTAAGAAAATTTACCTAATAACATTAATCTAGATATCCGAAATCGTCTCGAAGTACCTCGAATTATTGGAGATGTACACTAATTTTTCGTTTATTTGTTTTATTTTGTATTTAAATTTAATTTACAGTAATAATTCGAGGTACTTGACGATCTCGGATATCTAGATTAATGTTATTAATTTTTATTAATAAACAATTTTTCCATTTTTNTAGTCAAAGCATGGAGAGCGGTAATTGTTGATTTTGCTTTCTGGTAAGCATGTTGGCTAGGGTGGAGTGGATTTGTGACAAGCACGTCATTCCTTAGGTATTGATCGATTACCTTTTCCATCCCTTTGAGGAGAAATGAAGTTAGGCTAATTGGTCTGTAATTGTCTTCTAAGCCTAATCTTCCTAAGATTATACATTGGTCATTTCGTTCTATATTCTTCCAAAAATGGTTCGACTATATACTGGGAATTTCATATAAGTAACTCGCAATAGATATATGTATGCAGTAACCGTAGTTGCGAAACTACAAAAATATACCACAATAACTAACACTAGACCTAGAACTAGAAACATTCAGACATGTTACATTTTATGTGGGATAAATTTCTATGTAAATATATTTTTATATATTGCATTTTAAGTTAAATTCACTGTATACGGTTATCAACATAACCATAGAATTAGAGAAATAATACGCAAGAACTAGTCCAGCATTAAATTTGAGTTCCTAGAAAAAATTTTATTAAACCATGACCTCGTAACATGACGTGAATTCGTAAAGTAAATCCAATGGTAAATAATAAATAATGACGAAGCGTATACCAGTCAATAAAGAGATTGTTCCTTGTGTCATGCGTTCAATATTTATGTAACCACAGGTTTCTGCCTATTGCTTTAATACGAAGACGACCTTCGATTATTCTCCTACATCACTCAATTATACCATGACAGTTCAGATTTGAATATTTCTTTTTGTCTTTCAAAGGCGAAATTGGAACGTTATAAATTATTTAAAATATTTTTTTTTACTTTTATGTGAAAAGAAAATTCTAAGTTAGGAGCTTTAAATTTTCTTCTCGTAATTTTAGGATACTTAAAATTTAAATAGTTTCAAAACGTTTAAATAGCAGAATTTTCTTTCAAAAGATAATTAGTTCAAATTTCGTTGAATCAGAGCTACATCATGTTTAAAAATGTTTACCTTTTTATAATTATAAATTTAATAAACACAACGCAATCACATTTAGATTCAAATTTTTTAAAAGATTTTTTAAATGCACAAATTGTACCAATAAAACTTCATTTCTTTGGTTGTTATGATATTGGTAAGATTATTAAATGTTTTTTATCGCTATATTTTAATAAACATTGTAGAATTTCGAAAAAATTTCTTAAAAACATCAAATAAACACCTAATCTCTTTTAAAACAATTAATTCACCCATTAATATTCTTCAAACTAGACAAGAACAAACGTTTGTGTTAGATTCGAATTGTTTGGGTTTTGAAAATGTTTTAAAACAAGCTCAAATTTCAAATCTATTCTCGTATCCGTTTCGTTGGATCTTTATTGGGAATAAATCCGATGTTTCGGTTGATTTAAACATTTTGATTGATAGTCGGTTTTATTTAATAACAAAATCATTTCAAGAAGACACTAAAAATAATTACGTAATTGATGTAAAGGCGATTTATAAAGTTTCTAAAACAAGCACTACTTATATAGAGAATCCTTTAGGTAGATGGGACAAAAATAATTTATTTTTTAAGGATATTAATTTAATCAGAGATCGTTATAACATGTATCAAACAATTCTGAACGTTTCTTGTGTTATAACACATAAAGATACGTGGAAACATATGTGGGATTACCGGTAAAATAATTTGATTTCATTAAGTTATTAATTAATTTTTTAATATTTTATTGTTGTAGAAATAACCATATTGATGTTCAATCAAAAATAAGTTATATTTTAAGCCACACAATTCTTCATTCAATGAATGCTACAGGAAATTATTTAGTGAGAAATTCATGGGGATTTAGAAATGCTAGTACTGGTTTGTACGATGGTATGGTTGGTGATGTACAAAGGCACAAAGTGGAATTAGGAGGCAAGATTTATAAGAAATTAATGTTTATTAAATTTAGTAGTCAACTTTTAGTTATCATTTTTTACTTTATTTAAATTTCGACTTATTCTAATATGATGCATGGTGACAGATTTGCATATAAGACTCTTTTTCTACAAATTGTTTATAACACAACTCATTATTTCTCCACATTAACAGAAAATAGAGTGCTTTAGCTTTAATTTAAGATATACATCACATTTTAATTCCTTAAAATAAGTTCAATGCGATTTTTTTAATTTAGATTTTTTTAGCTTTGGAGAAACGACGGATTTTCCTAAAAAAATCTTGCTCTGGAAATTGTTTACATCAAACCTCGTTATTTCTGTACATTATCCAAAAATAGAATCTCTTAACTTTAAATGAAGATATAAATCACTTTCAAACTCCATAAAATAAGGTCGTTATGAAGAAGAAAACAAATTTTATTCTGTACCCACTACTACATAAAAAAAAATAAGAATAACAATAAAAATATCTATATGTATATACAACAAAAATAAAAAAGTGAAGGGGTGAGAATAGGGCTACCCTACCAGGGTCTTTCTGCCCGTGATTTTTGTAGTCGACGGCTTGTTTCAGTCTTCTCTGACGGCCAGGAGTTTTTGGAAGAGAAGAGGTGGATTGTTGCGAGGGTGGAGTAATCGAGGCGATATAAGCGTGTGTTGCAAGGCGTTGGTAGGAAAATTTAGGATGGATTTATCGGACAAAGATTGAAGACGGGTATGGATAAGTTGGTATAGCAGATCATTGCTAGGGTTAAAGAGGGGATTACGGGGGTTCCTAATTCGGGTGATGGATCTCAGTGCAGATCTTTCCGCTACTTCCAGGTGGTACTTCGTTCTTCTTGGTGCGTTGCTTAGCAGTATTGATCCATATTCTATGATGGGCCTGCATATGGTCTTGTAGATGTGCGAGGCACATGAGGTAGAGATTCCGCGACCGCTGAACGAGAGAGATTTAAAGTGTTTGGCGCGTGTCTTTACTTTCATCTTCACCTTGGTTGCATGAGTGGAAAACTTAAGCGTTCTGTCAAGTATTATGCCAAGATACTTGCAGGTTGGTGAGACGGAGATTGCCGTTGATTGGATTGTAATTGTGGGAGAGGGAGCGCGGGGTGAGAGGAATGGGACAAAAAATTGTGTTTTTGTGGGATTGAGTAGGATGCGCCATTTTCGGTACCAATTTTCCGTTTCGTTTATGAGCGTCTGCAGCTTACGGACCGAGGAAGTGATATCCCTACTGTGCGAGACCAATGCTGTGTCGTCGGCATAAAGTAGTGCGTATGCAGTGAGGTTAAAGGCGTCTGGGTTGTCGTTGTAAAGATCGTGGCAGAATAGATTGTATAGAGAGGGAGAGATAGGCGAACCCTGAGGAAGGCCTTGCTGAGCGGAGAAGCTGTGGGAGAAGTGATTTTTCAACTTCACGATGGAGGAGCGATTCGACAGGAATTGGTTTATCAGGGTTAGAAGGTAGTATGGCGTTTTTAGCTTATCCAGTTTAAATAGCAATCCTTTGTGCCACACGGAGTCAAAGGCCTTTCGGACGTCCAGAAACACTGCTGCAGATTTCAGTTTTACAAAACGTGCCGCCTGGAAGTTGGAAACCAGAATAGTTAGTGGCTGAGACGTTGATTTGCCGGATTGGAAGCCAAATTGGTAAGGCGGAATTTTCTTTGATACCGCAGCCAGCAGCTTGTTCTTCAAGTGCGTCTCGAAGAGTTTTCCAATTACGGGGAGCAGTGAGATGGGGCGATAGTTGGCTGGATCAGATAGAGAAGAATCCTTCTTGGGAATACAAGTTATAATTGACGTCTTCCAGTCGCGCGGGAAATGCTGAGTCGCAAGGCAAAAGTTTATTATTTTTCTGATAAAGCCATGGATGTTAAGATCTAGTCTTCTCAGCAGTTTCCTTGTGATGTTATCATAACCGGGAGCGGTATCTTTTTCCTGTCCAAGAAGAGTAAAATATTCGTCTTCCAACATGCGAGCATCTTCGGGTGTCTCGAACGGTGTCAAAAATGCGGATTCGTACCAATTATCTATAATGTTTTTATTGTGGGGACAAAACGAAACATCCTCGGTAAAGGTGAATACACCTTCCAGGTAGTCAGCGTGTATGTTGACAATCTCTTCAGGGTTGGAGTGCACACCGCCATCGGTAGGATCAATGAGCTCCTCCGTTCCAGGTGTCTTTTGGTATCTTGATAGTTTTCGAATTTCGTGCCAATAGTTTCTTTCTTTACACAGTTTTATTTTGTCACAGGCTTCCATGTACTTTTCCGTTCTGTATTGCTGAATTAGTTTCTGTATCTTTTTGTTGAACTCATTAAACTTCTTCTTCAACTCAGGTACTTCATATACCCTGAAGTCTCGATATAGGCGTCTTTTCTCCTTGATGAGTCTGATAATAAATGGAGGTAGCAGAAAACTGTAGTGTTTGGTGGTTCTTGATGGGCTCGCTTTGTCTATCGACTCCTTAAGACATTTGTTAAACCTTGAAATCGTGTCAACTGTAATTGTCTGATGTGCTTCTATGAAGTCTTTCATTATTGAGTTAACTGTCTCCATGTCGCAAAGTTTATAGTTTTTAATTAAAGTCGGAACAGGTTTAGGTACGTTGGGTGTGACGTTGACATAAACTAAAATGCCCAAGTGATCGGAGCATAAATCCGGAACAACTTCTACCTGTGTAATTAGACCGCGGATGTTTCTTGTGCAGAACAATAGATCAGGAGTAGAGTTCGGATTGTTTTCTATAACGTACGTGGGAGGAGTCGTGATTTGTACGAAATTGGACATATTCAGGAATTGTCTTATGTGTTTCCTTTTGGTTGGATTCGGATTGAAGTCACCAATTATGAGACATTTGTCGTGCAGTGAGGCCATGTTAAATATGGATTCTTCAATTTTACTAAACGGGTGGATATAAATTAAGAAAACATGTATTAAGTCTGTCCCGATAGTGATACAAAAATGAAGTGCATTATTTAATGGAGAGTTGATTGCGGGGGGGTTGGATTTTCTCAATTGTATCGTGGGGTGGCCCATAGCCACCGCTCCTCCTCTGACTCCTCTATTTATAATATTGCCGTGGTTTTGGATTGACGTCCAGTTTCTAAATGTGATGGAAGACTTCGATTTTGTTTCCACAAACATTGCGCAACGGATGTGATTCTCAATGATGTAGTTTCCGATCAGGTGTGATTTCGGGTGGTAGCTGTTAATGTTTGCGTACAATAATTTTATGCTGGTCATTGTTGATCTTGCGGAATCGAGGATTGGTAGCCGTGGATAGGTTCTGTAGGAGATGGCTTAGAGGTGTCCTGGAGATCAATCATGATAACGTACATGTAACTTCCAGAGAATGCGACAATCGTATCGATTTGGTAGTTTTCTACAAATTTCCGTTTGAGGGAATTGATAAGTTCTTGACGATCGCGTGGTTTGGGTGAGTTAATTTTTGAGAGGTAGGTATCAATAATGTGGTCGTGAATGATGATTGGTGTATGTATGCGTGTTTCTTTTGTTTTTGTAGAAATTTGGTCAGATTCTTTTATTAGCCGATTTTATTTTAACGTTAGGGACTCCTCGTATGGGAGCTGTGGGGCGGTTCTTGCATTTTAGTGACCAGGCACTGTGTCCCTCCAGGCCGCAGGATTTGCATTTCTCCGGTAGCTGTGAGGTGCATTTAGTGGTACTGTGTGGGCCGAGGCATTTTGAGCACTGCACTGTGGCAGTGCATTTGTCTGAGGTATGAGAAAATTCGTCGCATCTACTACACGGGATCGGCATTGGCGGTGGAGCGCGGCTTTCAAACACAGGAAAGTGGTTGTTTTTGAAGAATACTCCCGCTTGCAGAAGCTTTTGATAGGAGTCGACACACCCGGAAATTATCCTAATTTTATAGGTGGGCTTATCTGTGGCTTTTGAGATAATTCTTTTACAGTATCTGTGATAATGTTTTGATGTTTTAGTAGATTTAAATTGATGGTTTGTTGTGGTTTGGAATTTTCCGATTTAATAATAAAGCCCTCTTTTGTTTTTATTATAATGTCACGTGGATTAAGTGAGTGTTTCGTCCAAATTTCGGACAACTGAATCCTGCTTAGCGGAAGACTTGTTTTTATGAAGAACACCGAGTTGTAGATTTTTGTCTGTTGTTGGTACGTAAGCGGGCGGTCAGAAAACCGGTTAGCGGCTGGAGCACGTGGAGTTCGAAAAATTGTTGGTGTTTGCGGTGGATAAGAATTTTTATTTTTAGGTGGATGCGGAACTTTAAATGCGGAATCACTGCCGCTAGTGTTTTGTTTTTTGTGAAGACAATCCGTGTGTGTGTATTTTTTCGGGCGGCCGCGTTTTTTGTTAGGGAGTCCGAACTCACCGTCCTGGTCCTGGTCGGATTCCGAAGCCGAAGCCCCCGAACCTTGCGTTTCCATAGTTGTGATCACACCCTCAAATATAGGAAAATTGTTCACGTAGGTAGTAAACAAAAATTTAATTAAATCACTGCTATTAAACACGCTAAAGCCGAGAAAAGCAAGAGCATGCGTGACTCGTGCAAATGTCTTGAGAAGACTTGGTCGTTATGATTTATTTAAATTTCGATTTTTTTTGGCATTACCCAAATTGATACATTTCTATTTACGCCTTCTTTTCTGCAAATTGTTGCTAACAAACCCCATTATTTATCGACATTATCATAAAATGCAGTGTTTTAACTTTAATTTAAGATATACATCACATTCTAACTCCTTAAAATAAAGTCAATGCGATTTTTTTAATTTCCACTTTTGTTTGGCATTGCAGAAACAACGGGTTTTCCTAAAAGAATCTTTTTCTGGAAATTATTTACATCAAACGCCGTTATTTCTATACATTATCCAAAAATATAATCTCTTAACTTTAAATGAAGATATAAATCATTTTCCAACTCCTTAAAATAAGGTCGTTATGATTTATTTAAATTTCGATTTTTTTTAACATTACCCAAATTGATAGATTTGTATTTAAGCTTTCTTTTCTGCAAATGGTTTATAACAAAGCCCATTGTTTTTAGCTTTAATTTAAGATATACATCACACTCTTTTTGGCACTGACGGTTTTCCTATAAAATTGTTATTATAGAATGAGAATAAAAGAGCTACTGTCCGAAATGGAACACATTTTAATGTTAATTAGATATTACTTTAATTGGAATTTTATTTTAGGTACTGGAGCATTTACTACAATTGACAGAATAGAATTCGTAGACTATATCGCACCAATATATAAATCAAAAGCAAGTTTTATGTTTCGAGCCCCACCATTATCATCTGTTAGTAATGTTTTAACATTACCGTTTACCAAACAAGTTTGGATGGCAAGTTTCTTTCTGTCCATTTTAATTTGTACGGTGATGTATATAATTTCAAAATGGGAGTGGAGCGAAGATGATTTTAAAATCACTTTCGAGAGAAAATCGGACGTTTTGCGTCCGAGTTTTATCGAATCCTTCGTTTTTAGTTTAGGCGCAATTTGTCAGCAAGGCTGCAAAGTTGAGCCGAAAAGCGCAGCGGGAAGAATTTCCGCTTTGGTATCGTTATTAATTTTCTTATTTTTATACACGTCGTATTCCGCTAATATTGTTGCTTTACTACAATCAACCAGCGATAGTATTAACACCATTGATGATTTGCTTAACTCAAGGATTCAGTTGGGTATGGAGTTAATGCCTTATAATCATTATTTTAAAGTATTATTTTAATAATTTTAATCGGTAAGTAGTTGATTTGAATCAATTGTTAGTTAAGTTATGGTGTAAGAAAACAACTTTATGACACGAAAATTGAACCAAAAGGATCTTCCCCAAATTTTTTGGATATTGATGCGGGTATGAAGAAAGTGCGAGAAGAATTTTATGGTTTTTATGTTGAAAATTCGCGCGCGTATAAAGTTGTCTCGGAAACTTTTCTTGAACACGAAAAATGCAGTTTGAGAGGTGTGCCATACATAAATTTCGGAGATACTTGGATTACTATGGCAAAAAAGTCCTCTTATAAGAAGCTTGTTAAATACGGGTAAGGTTTACTTAGGCCCACTTTTACCATCCTCCTGATAAACTATCTAGAGGATAGTTGCCATGGTTACGGCGGTTTTAAGCGCTCTCATTGGCTAAGAACTGGATTTATCTATCGGATAAATTTATCAGGTGGTGGTAAAAGTGGGCCTTAAATAATTAAAAATAAAAATTCAAGTTATATTTTAATAGATTTAGGAAAGCGTTTGAAAGTGGAATTCAAAATCGGGAAATTAGAAAACTTTACGTTTCAAAACCAGTTTGTCATACGTCGGAGAGCAGCTTTGGTAGTGTTGGGTTAAAGGATTCTTATTATGCTTTCGTCATATTTGCAATAGGAATTGGGACTGCTTTAATGTTGTTAATTCTCGAGATGGTTATTAATAAGAAACAACAAGAAATAATTACTACTTGGAAAAGTGTTCAAAATTACGTTAATCAAAATGTTATTGAAAAATTGAATCAAATTTAAAATAAATAAACACGAACTTTAAAAGCAAATTGCATTAAAATAAAAAAATCGATTACAACTAGATATCAATCAAACAATTTTCTAAACTCTCAATATCAGAAATTGAGAAAATAAATCCACATTAACTTTTTCCCATTCTCTAACAGACTATTTAAATAAAAATAGGTTAACATTTCGTCTCTTTTTCAAAATGCATTCGTTGAAAGTACTCGTTTTTGTGTCTCTTGTTTACACGACGGAATGTTACGATAAAAATCGGATAAATTTTATTAAAGATTTCCTCCAATTTGAACAACCACCAATAAAGGTATTTGCGTTCGTTTGTTGGGAAATTTGTAAGATTTATTTTATATTTTTCGAAATTAATAAATCATTGAAATTAATTATTTTAGCTTACAAAATAGAAATGGCCAACAATCTAAAAAATCTTCAAATTTCTTTTAGAAGCATCAAAGATGTGTTATTACCTCACGGAGGCGACAATTATTATTTTTTTATTTTAGATACAAAATGTAACAACTACACATCACTCCTACACATTGTAAATTTACAAAAACTAGCAACATTCGAGTTTAGCCATACGTCTCAAGATGACTAAACCAGAATGTATCTAGTTGTTGGTTTAGTTCAACCAATTATGTACTCTTTTACATATTCTTTTAGGTTAATAACCGTTTTTTAAGATCCCCTTACCGTTGGCTAGTCATCGGGGATCAAATAACAATACCACAATATTTAAACATTTTATTAGATAGTCGGTTTTACATCGCCGAGGAAAAATCTGGTCGTTACATTTTAAAAGCGTTGTATAAACGGACTAAATATGACGATGACTTCATCAAAAATGACGTTGGCGAATGGAGTAGTGGATTTTTGTATTATAACGAATTAAGTTGGGCGAAAAATCGATCTAATTTAAATGGATTAGTTATGAACAGTTCGTTAATGACACATAGATATGTTGAAGATAATAATCAATTATTGAGGGGGTTATGGAATAATAGGTACCCAAATTAATTACATTCGTTTAGAAACATTCGGGTTTATCCGTACGTTTTCAGACGACACTTTCTAGCTCTAGATCTAGTGTTAGTTCTAGTTTTACACTAGCACTATCACTAGAACTAACATGACCTAAAACTAGCATCCTGAAAGACGTGCGGCTAAATCCGAATGTTTCTAGTTCTCGGTCTAGTGTTAGTTCTAGTATTGGATTCGCAGTATCACTAAAATTAACATAAGATGTAGAACTAGAATCATTTAGATTTAGCCGTCTTGAGAGACGTGCTGCTAAACCCAAATGAGTCTACTTCTAGGTCTAGTATTAGTTTTAGTTTTACACTAGCATTATCACTAGAACTAGCACTAGACCTAAAACTAGAGTCATTTGGGTTTAGCCGTCTTTAGAGACGTGCGGCTAAACCCAAATGATTCTAGTTCTAGGTCTAGTGTTAGTTCTAGTTAGTAACAGTGCTAGTGTAAAACTAGAACTAACACTA